CGGGGGACGGACCGCCACCGGCGACCAGGACTGGACCCGGGCCCGGGCGGGACCGGCGCGGGGCGAACCCCGCTCCCAGCCGGGCGCAGAGCTTGAGGGCAGCCCCACGGCAGGACGTGGCCCGTGGGACAAGCCGGGGACGGGCACCGGATTTCGTGTCTTAATTTCGTGACCGACCCTAGAGCGCTCTCGGGCGCCGGCGCCGTCCGCGGAAGCGCGCAGACCTTGGGCTCTCTGCCCCCAGCTGCGGGCGCAGGGACGCTGTGCTCACGAAGGCTGGCGGTGCCCGGTCTTTGGGGACCCTTGGAAAGCACTGCAGCAGCATTAGTCCGTGGCCGAGTAAAACGGGCGGGTGCCCTAAAGTGTCTGTTAGAACGTGGGCGCAGCCGACCCCTCCTCTCCACCGCTGCCCGGTGGTCCTCTTCCCTCCTGACCACCCCTGCCCTGGGGCCACCGCGCGGCCCGCGCCTGTCCAAGGCCCAGATGTGCGCAGGGTTCACCCCTTGCTTCCCGCGGTCTGGTCTCTGCTGAGTTCACCTCGCCCAGGAACACTACCTGAGATTGCTCCTCGCGTGGCCCCTGCCCCGCTCTACTTAATCTTTTCTCCTGCGCATCTCCTACTGGCGATTTTCTTATCTCCCCGCGTGCCTGTTCTTTGTGTTTGAATGCACACTCCACGAGGGCAGATACTTTGTTCGGGTCCCAGAACAGGGCCAGGCACATAGTAGGTGCTCATAAACGTTTGCTGGTTTTATTTGCTATATTACTCAGCTTTCCCCGTCTTTTTTTTTTTTTTTTTTTTGGTACCGGGGATCGAACTCAAGACCTTGTGCTTGCCAAGCAGGCGCTTGTGCCACTGAGCTATATCCTCAGCCCCTATTTTTGAGATGTCTGCAAATTCGAATTGTTAATGGAAAGTTCTGTAGCACAGTGACCTTACTATCCTGATCTCTTAGTGTTTGTAAAACTAGGAATTTTCGGCAAGAAAAGGAAAAACACGAGTTCCAACTTAAATGACTCTTTGATTTCCAAGTTGTTTTCTGTTAGCAAAACATGTTTCTATTTTAATCTCAGGAAACATCCATGCCAGTTCAGGCTGGGGACGTTATTTTAGGCAAACAGCTTGGTGTCATCCATTTCAGACCCTTCTAATGAAGTCCAAAAATGTAGAAGTCAAAATATTTTTTCGACAGAAAATCAAATTTTTGTAAATGTAATGTAGGCCTGGTTCCAGCCCCCGCGGGCTACCTCTCAGTTGTTTGCCTTGTTTATTGGTTCTGTATTGGATTCACAGAGAAGCTCAGCTAGAGCCCTGGATGACTGGGCGGGGCTAAGCCTCAGGGTAAAGAGCTGAGGCAAAAGAAAAGAGGGAGAGGGAGAGGGAGGGTAGGATGGGGTGAGGTTCTGAAGAAGCACAAGGCCCCTTGCTGTGCCCCCTGCCTCACCTACTTCCTTACACCTGCAGACACCCGATTGGTCTTCCTTCTCCACTAGGCTGGTGTCCACTCCCCACCCAGGAAGCTGTCTCTGACCTGCACTTGGCTGATGTTTGTGGTCCTACTGCTCTAGCACCCACCAAGAGGAGCTGCTGGGGACCCGTGCTGCAACTGCCTCCGGCCACTCTGAGTCCCAGGAGATAAGGTCTCACAGGAAGGCACAGGCAGCACCTGTGTGGTCAAATTCCCGTGCCCACGTTGCCTGGCACAGGCAGGAGGGCAGTGAGTATTAAGTAGGCTGGAGTGGATTGATTTGAACTCTGCCTGGTGAACGTTAGCTTCTCCCTTTAGTAGGACCTAATTATGTCGGTTTTTGTTCAGTCGTGGAATACGGAGGCTGCAGGACTCCCAGGGTCTAGCTGGATATTGTCCTGCTCTTAGAACCACCACTGATCGTTCAAAAAAGGAGGTGGCGTTTTTCCAAGTGCTGGACACCAAACCTAGGACCATACCCAGGACCTCACACATCCTAAGTAGGTGCTCTACCCTGAGTTACATCCTCAGCCCCACAATCTCAGTCCTAAAACAAACACGCAAAATGAGATAAAATGTCTTCCTATTCACAATAACTACTCAGCCAGTATGACAAAATTTTGGTGAGGGATCCCACCGTGTGATGCCACCTCATAAGTAGAAACCCAATTGTTCTCATGCACAAGTATCTATCTGTCATTGGTTATACTGTCATTGGTGTGGATAAGCAGCAAAATAGAATCAAACAAGCTTCACTTTAAACATTTGGAAGTTAGAAGCTCATAAGGACTTACTTTTTTCCCCACAGTGAATATTTATCAGGAGTCTACAGTGTATTCACCACGTCTAAGTGTGGAGACAAGCGAGGGACAAGATCAAGTTCTGCCCTGAGAGTTTCTGTTCTAGCAAGGAGCAAGGCAGTGCTACGCAGAGGGAGAAAGATATAAAGAGAAGATAAAGGAAGGTTACAGCAACAGAGAAGTGATGAGGCTGGGATGTGCGATGGAGTGGTTTGGCCACCTCTGCACCGGTGACATTTGAGTCAGGACCTAATGAGGTGGGGATGGGCTGTGGTCCCGCAGAGGGCAGAGCAAGATGCGTTTTCTCTGTGCCATGTGAAACAGTATCTCACAGTTGGTGTCAGAGGTATGGATCATCACGCTATTGCTCCCCACCCCAGGTGTAGGGTGGTGGCAAGAACACCGGATTATGCTTTTGAAGACCCCTCTAAGAGAAGGGTACTCACAGCGCTGGTTCACAGCAATTTTGACTTCCAGAATGGAGGAAGTGTTGGGCAGACAGTAGGGTCACCCTGTGTTAGGGTTTATACACAGATGTATAAAGACACATGTAAGACTCATGCAGTCGAGGGTGCGGGGTTGTGGGAGGCAATGGGGGCTGATTGCTGACTTGCTGTTAGGAGGTGGGGCCTGGTAGGAAGAGGTGGTCCTTGGGGCCTGACCTAGAAGGGCGCATCTCCTCTGGCTGCTCCCTTTCTCTTGGCTTCCTGGCCGCCATGATGTCAGCCGCTCTCCTCTGCCAGGCCCTCCTGCCATGCCCTTCCTGCCTGGGAGGCAGCCAAGCATGGACTAAAAGAGGAGCCAAAATACGCCTCTCCTCCTTTAAGTGGTGAGTGTCCAGCACTGTGTCTCAGTGACAGGAAAGTGACTAGGTCACCCTGCTTCTTTAGAGGAGCCACTTGGTGATCTTCCCTGGCCACAGCAGCAGTGCCTGTGGGAGTACAGCATATGCCCTCTTTGGGGGTTACACTACTCACGAGCTTCCTCTTGCACAAATATAAATGC